GCTGGCCTCCCAGGTGCTGAGGTGCGTTACAGGCACATGTCACCCCCAGCCAACTTTGTGTTTTATATAGTTGTGAATCTCATATTGTTTTTTAGCTTTCCTTAAGCTCTCAGTATGTATGGTCTTCTTAATATATGAATCATAAAGTAACACAGGCATATTGTATTTCATGGCCAGAAAATTTAGATTATACACAGCATTTTCATTTTTCTGTTTTCTTATTAGAAAAATAATGCATACTTATTGAAGACAGATTGTACAGAAAAGTATAAAGCTGGAAAATAAACCCATGATCTTTTTACACACTGATTACTTTGTCATTTTTATATCTAGTTTTTCCTGGTCCTTTTCCACTCAAACTGAAATTTTACCGATACCCTTATTTTCCAATCTGTGGGAGACAAGTTAAGGAAAATTGAGGCCTAATTGGCCTCCTCTGTGAGCAGAAAGAAGTTAGTACAGCTGAGATCAGGTCATTTACCCGGACAGGTACTAATGGGAAAGGGCAGGGAAATAAATTTTGTGTTTCTTAAATTGCTTGTACCTGTGTTTGAATAAAGAGCAGGGTGCTTGAGGCTCCTCTACCCACTAAAGGCAAGAGCCCCCAGCTTCCTGCGTGCTAAACTAACTTGGTATCTGTCTTTCCTCATTCGACCTTTGATGTCTGTCTGTCTTCATACAAACTAGCAAGACTAAGTCTCTACAAGTGGCGCCTGGGACCAGGGGAAAGCCTGGAGTGGGTTCGTTCCCCACAGGTGACACCTAGCAAGGGGACCTGGGACCAATGGGGCAGTCCAGTTTGCTACACTACTGAATTTTTCAGCTTCTTTATCATAATTACTAAACAGGCCCATTTTTATAATCATAAACTTAACCATAATTCATGAAATTACTTTTCAGTTTCTATTTTTGTACTATATTATTACACCAAGATCTTTGCCACCATTTCAGACTATTTCAAGTAATATCTCAGAAGTAGAGCACACAGGCTTGTTTGATAGACTAGATGATTTTTAAGGTACTTAATAAGGGCTATCAAGTTGCTTTCCTGAAAAATGATAACCCATTTTATATTACCAGCAATCTGTAAAAATGGTCATCTCACTAAGCTTTGGTTCACAGTATTATTAATGTACTTTCTCATTCACATTTTCCTGACTATCTCTAAAGTTGAATATTTAGCCCTACTATGCTGTATGTGATAGTAACTGTTCTAGTTTATCTTGTATGTGCTCCCAAACTACAGTGGAGACCTTCTGTTTACTGGTAATTTTTCTATTGCCCTAAAACTTCATTGGCTTATTCTTTTTAAGATTGTGTATTGTTGAGAATTAAAGATTTGAACAGATAAACAGCAAAGAGATCCTTCAGTTTGTGAAATCTCTTGGCCCACTTCTCTCTCTTGTGACTCCAGTTTTGTTGTTGGTACTGTGCTCATAATTAAATAGCAGAAGGAATGCAAAGAACGATCCCCAGAGGTGTCAGCTCATGCTTCTCCTCAGAGTGAACTATTGGAAGCCGGACATGGCGCATACCTGTGATCCCAGCACTCAGGCTGAGGTAGGAGGATCACCAAGAATCTGAGGCTAGCCTAGGCCACGTGGTGAGTTCGAGGCCAGCCTGATCTATATCACAAGACCCTGTCTCAAAAAAATACAGATTTTTTTTTTAAAGTGGTTCGTTTTTCACAAAGACTTATTAGGTTCCCTGACAGTAGGAATCAGATCTCACTCAGTTGTTTTTGTTTGGTTCTGGTTTTGTTTTTTTCCCCCAAACTTAATTCCTGGCATACATCAGGTAGTCAATAAATGTGACTAATAGATCCTTTGAAATTGCAGAAAAATTGAAGTTAGACTTAGCGGGCCTGAAGTTTTTTCCCCTTTAGGACCTTTGTAAATTTTGTGACTGGGGCTGGGGGCTTTTTGGGGTAGGGATTGAACCCAGGGCCTCATACATACTAATTTATAGTAGCTTTTAAACTTAATTTTGATCAACAAGAAGTATACTACCATTTACTTCACAGAATTGAGAAGTAAATGAGATAAAATATCTTATAATATCTTGGTTTTTTTCCTTTTGGTACCAGTAATCAAACTCAGGACCTTGCACTGCAGTATCTTTCTTGTAAAATTAAAAAACACTAAGAAAGTTACCATCATTATTTTGGTTCGTTCTGTTTTGTCTTTTTGTCTTGAGATAGGGCCTCACTTTGTAGTACAGCCTGGCCTTAAAGTTACTACGTCATCCAGGCTGACCCCGAACTGGAGGCAGTACTCCAGCTTCAGCCTCCTGAGTGCTGGGATTACAGGCATGCATCACCATGCCTGGCTTATTATAGTTCTTGAGGTTCATGATAAAGAGCTCCATTGGGTATGGCAGAGACTCCTCACTGACCACCAAAACCTCTCACTGTCTCTTCTTTCTGGGCATGCAGCTAGACTCTCTCTGTGCCCCCTTTCATACAGGGGTGGTCATGTAGCTGAGTTCTAATGATGGGATAGGCAGACAATCTGCACCACTTCCTGGCCTGACCCATAAACATCTCCCATGGGAGCCCCACCAAACTTTTTTTTCGTGGCTAGAATATAGGAGGCTTCAAAGTAACTTAGAAAGCTACACCTTAAATATAGAGAAGTCTCTTTGAATCCCAGATGTCTGCTAACTTCATCAGTACAGTTCTGCTACCTGAACAAACAAGCAATAAGCTTGTGTTGTGCTTGAATCGTATCGAACCCATTATACGTTCTGCATCTGCCTGTTATAGTAGTTAAGTCACATCTCTTACAAGGAGCATGGCAACGATCTGCTTTTTGTTTAGAGAAACATAATTCTCTAATAGACACCTTACAAAGAAGAGTAACAATTATACAGATTTGTGAACAGATATAACTGGTAATTCAAGATAAAATTGAGAATTGTCATACGAGAATTTTTAAAGAAACGTTAAGGCATAATTGGATAACTTTCATTTTTAACATGTATAATGTATTAAAATCATATTGAAGTTAAGGTCTCTAAGAACATAGATGATGACTCTGGGTAATACTTTGCTTTAATGCATTTTAGTATGCAGACAATTTTTAATATTAAATAGGGTACAAAAGATATACAAAGTGAGATTCTCTGTTGACACTAGTAATTTTGAGTTTTTAAACATTCCTTATTCTTCAGCTCTGTTTTTTAGATTATTTGACCCAGCTCATAGTTTTTTTGTGGATGAGGAGGTGTGCTAGTCTTACTCCAAAAATTATAGGGTAAGACCTTTTTTTCAATATATGTGTGTCTATGAAAACATGGAGCCTCCCTAAGGAACACAGAGGAACTCCAAGTACGCACTCACCCTTTTATCTGGCAACTTTTACCCAAACTTGCCAGACTAACTGACGATAGTGGGTCCTGTAGCTCTTGGGAGGAGGAAGGCTGTTTAAATGTCTTTGGACTTGAGGTGACAATGCCTCTTCAAGCAAGTGCAGTGTTTATCAGTTCTACTTACTTAGCAGTCAGAGTTTAACACTATTAGCTTTCTAGACTGTATTGATTATGACAGTGAATAAAATACAACAAGCAATGCAAACAGCTTGCACGGAATTCACATACTGCCTAAAAAAGGAACTACCCCTTTTTTTCTGAGGCAATAATTTTAATTTTACACATTATGTCTAGTAATCTGATTTCCCCTGGGAAGCTTGGGTTATTCTGTGGTTACAGTTAATTTAAATAACAAGCAAGCTGGGCATAGCGTGTTAGAAATAGAAAAAAAGAAGAAATAAACCTTCCCATAGACTTTAGGAGATCGTAGCACAGGACGGACAAGCTAAAGACGAGAAAACTAATTGTATAAATAGGAGACTAAGTGACAAGCTGAATCCTGTTTCCTTGCCTACCTTTTGGGAGTGTTAAACTGCTAAAGCACATACAATGCTGATATTGAAAGTTACTCTGAGTTCGATGTCGTGGTGCATACCTGTAATCTCAGCTCTCTGGGAGGCCGAGGCAGGAGGATCACAAGTTCAAGCCCAGCCTGGCCAATTTCGTGACTTAGCAAGACCAGTTTCAGGGAGAGGCAAGTACCAATTCAATTCTAAGTACCACAGAAAAAGAAAAAGTTAAGCCTGAAGCAACACAGGGCTGAATTATGTCTAGAATTTTGATAGAAAGTGAAGTGCATTTTAGAACTCAGAACTATTTGGGAGGTTCCCCGTTATCTGAAAATTTTGCTTAAATCAAATTGCCTTATTTTTACCCAAAAATCTAACTTTTTAAAAAAAAATAGTTCTTTTTAATTAGATGAAAAAGTATGTGGTTGTTGAGTACCCAGTCATTTACCTTCAAATGTAATTTCTTCAAATTATTAATCTTGAGACTTTTCGGGTTTCTATTTAGTTATGACAGAATGAGGCCACTTTTTGTGAAATCACATTCCTTTTAGAAAGCTAAAATTTAGTATACTCACAAGAGGTTTTATGTTTTGTTTTTTAAAAGTAAAATTTAATCCAGTTGATATTTTTTAAAGTACATGAGTTTTAATACTGCATATTTCAGTTTTTTGACAAATAGTTACATCTATATTATGTGTAAATTAGCACTTTTCTAGAAAATATTTCAGGACAACAGAAATTGCCTTCTACCCTTCTCTGTACTTGGCAGGTCACTACTTGAACTTGATAGATAACTGAAACTGAAAAGAATTGATTTTCTCAGCGTACAGATGGAACAAAGAGACATTATGAGTTGTACTGAGAGTGAAGCCTGTTTTATTAAATATGTAACTCTGCAGAGTGACTGTTCATGCACACCAGAAGATACTGCCAAAGGAAGGCTGGAGTACTTACATATAGCGGAACTGAAGAGACCCTGGGTGCAGAAATGCATGGACATTGAATTAAAAGTAGCTGTGGGCGTGGGGGCCTACGCCAAGTCTCATTTACTATATGGTGTTTTAACTGAAATATGGTAACTGTTACATACTAAACTGTCTTTCTCTGTGTTCTGGGATGCAGGTGGCAATAAAAATAATAGATAAATCTCAGCTGGATGCAGTGAACCTTGAGAAAATCTATCGAGAAGTACAAATAATGAAAATGTTAGACCACCCTCACATAATCAAACTTTATCAGGTACAGTTTACCCTTATGCTTTTCATATTTGGGTTTTTATTTTGCATCAGGTTTTTGTCTTTTATGTTTTTCTAATCTATGAAGGAGTAAATATCAGCTAAGTGTATCCATTTTTCTGTACTATCTTTAAATAAATTTGGAAATCAAAAACAGCTTAATTTTCAAGTCTCTCAAATTGCTAGTTGTATATCTTACTATTTATTTATGTATGTATTTATTTATTTTAGTTACGTGTTTTTAAACTTTGCAGTTGTGCATCTTGTGATATCCTGCTCAAAACTGCTGGGTTTTAGTTGTAGTAACAATAAATGAGGATATAATAGTTTTGCTTATTCAAATACATACTGTTTACCTTGTATGAAATAATTATATTGCTTGCAGTGTCATACTTTGTAACACAGAAAGTCAAATGTATTTTTGAGTAGGCTTATTCTATCAGAGAAAGTAAATGTTTTTTTAAGGGAACATTTCTCAGGGGTCTTGCTGTATACCCCAGGATAGCCTTGAACTCTTGATTCCCCCCCCCCCCCCTTAGCTTCCCAACTGCTGGGATTTCGGTTGTGCAGCACTGTGACTGGCTCCATTTTTGCAGACTTTTAAGAGTTTAATATTATTTTATTTAATGATATTTTATTAACTATGTTAATATTTAATATTATTTTAAGAGTTTTATATTATTATTAGCTTAACAATATAAGCCATTTTTAAAGTTCCTACTCATTCATATGTAGAATATTTTTAATTGGGAAATTGTTTCTAAACTGAAAGGTCTCAATATGCTGACCTATGACTTTGACCCTCAAAGTATGACCTGCCTGGTATGCTGGAGTCAGTCTACTCCAGCTTGTGAGACTTACCAAATTTTCAGAAGTTTTGTGAGCTGATAAGCATCATGTTAGTAATCTCAAAATTAGTAATAAGGGGAATAATTATATCATAGGGACTGGCTTACAAATTAGGGCCTTTTGTTCTGAGAGACCTGCTTTACTATCACATCACTGAGTACTCAGATGGGTTAGGACAAATATCCTTGAAGTGTAACAAGAACATATTACAACTTTGAGCTGTGTTTATTGTGTACATTTCCTAATGTGCAGAATGTACTCATTTTGTGGAATCTATAAATTTGTGTCTATATACACAGATACTTGTATATGTATGTGTGTTTACACATATGTATATACATATTTTTAACTAACTGTTTATTAATGGAAATTTGCAGTAACAAATTGCGGATCATTGGTTTATAATATGCCTTATAATAATGAGACATTATAGCGTGCCATCTAAAACATTTCCTACAATTTTAAGACTATAGAGACCTCAAGAGGTCAGATTTATTCATTTAAGCTTTGTTTTACTTCTTGAGGAAGGTGGTGTTTACAAATTGATCGCATTCTTAGACCCCTCTGAGAAGTCATAGGCTGCAACGAGGGTCCCACTGCCACAATGACTTGCTAACTCTGGCTCTGTGAGCCCTGGGTTACTGTGTAATCCCTTCAGGTCAAAGTTATAGATTCCCCAGGTTAGTTTTTTACCTGATGTGAAACAGTGCTAACCTTACATTTTAAAGCAAAATTAGTTTTTGTCTTTCAGTAGATCACAGTTAGTGTTACAGAGAAGCAATCTAGAAATCACTCATCTTGAATTTAAAAACGAATTTCCTTTCTAAATAGCCATTTATTCAATAGAGCTTGAAAAATAGTGATGACAATCTCGTATTTTGTTTCTGAACCTAGGAAACTAATTTCACTGAACAGTATTTTAGAGCTACGAAGATGCAGCTTTCCAATAGTGTTTTAAAATTCTAGTACTTTGTATCAACATTTTAGTAGAAGAGTATCACATTGTATCAGCTTAGGTAGGCTGCAGACCAGATAGCCTAAATTCTTCTGTTTTATTATGTGACAACACTGGGCTCAAAACTTCAGCAAAGAGATATTGAAAAGATGATGTGAAAACTTTTGTTACTCAGCCGAGGATATAGCTTAGCAGCACAGTGTCTGCCTGGCAAGCGCAAGGTCATGAGTTTAATTCCCTGTACCAAAAAAACCCCAAAAAACAAAAAATTAATACTTCTCAAATTTTCATGTGCACAAAAGTTACTTGAAAAATGTTTTAAGGTGTCAGTTTTAACTCGGTAGGTCTGAGGCAAGGCCTGAGAGTGTGTTTCCAACAGGTGCTGGCTGGTGACCACACTTAGAAGAGCAAGGGCCTGGATTTTTCATAAAAATATAAACAGAAAGACATTGCCAGGCTTGTAAACTTCAGCAGCTTTGAATTGTTCTTCACTCTGATGACTATTGACACTTTTAATTTAGGTAAACCATAAACATCGTGACTTACAATCCTCCTTGTCAGGCTAATGTGGAATTGTTTATCAATAGGTAATGGAGACCAAGAGCATGTTGTACCTGGTGACAGAATATGCCAAAAATGGGGAAATTTTTGGTAAGCTTTTCCTTTTAATTTTTTTTAATTTGAGAAATCATTTATCTTGTGAATAGGGAATTTCCTACTAATCTTTCTGCTTCAGAGTTGGTAATATGAGCTAGAAATTTTTGAGTAGTAGACTTGAATAGAATACCCAGTAAGCTAAAAGTGTTGAATGTAATTTATCTTACGGATTGTATTAAAGGTACTGCTTAATTCTCTCATGTGTATTAAACAGACTAAATAACCAAAGATGAGGGGGTTATATCACATTATGAGATTTTCTTTTTATCTTTTTTTTTAACCTTTCTCTGCAGGAAAAATATCAGTGAGTATTACCGAGTCCTGCTATGGTTTAGTTTTTGGGGGTTCATTGGGAGCCTGAAAACACCATACCAGTAATTTATGTATCCATCCATCTCGTGATGGATGTTTAGGTTGACGTGAGTTTCCAGTTATGATATCTAAGTAGCTAAAAGCATTATGAACAAGGCCTTAACTTGCATGGGCTACCTTCAGACAGTGTTTACCAGTTCCCATTTGTTACTATAAGAACTTTAAAATAATGTAGTTCTATTTTGTTCTGCCTGGCTTTTATGGTCTTGTCACATTTTACCGTATGCATTCTATAAAATACAATACAGTATTATTGTTAACAACTATCTTTTACAGGCATTTCAATATTTTTTTTTAAATACATTTACCAGTATAGTTGCCATTGCCACATTCCTTTACATGCAGGCGTGGTTTTATCTTTAGCCTTTTGTTTAGAGACATATTTTCATGTGGAGTCTTTCTCATTTTGCCTGAACAATTTCCTTTAATATTTTTTGTAGTGCAGGTGATGGGAAGTTTTCAGTTTTTGTATGTCTAAAATAATGTTTCTTTTACTTTTTTTTTTTCTCTTATTTTCTTTCTTTGTTTCTTCATCACTGAGTGTGAAAACCAGGTCCTTGTACATGTTAAGCAAGCGTTGTCGCTGAGCAGTGCCCCATATTTGCACTGGGTATAAAATTCTAGATTAACTGTTTTGAGTGTTTTGCTTTGATTTGTACTTGACAGATGTTTCACTGTTGCATTGTGTCTCTGTTGCTGGAACACTATCCCTGATACCCATGATTTAAAGAAGCTTTGGTCTGTGTTTTAGGGAATCCCATCCCTGATCAGCTAGTTCCAAGGCAGAAATATCATGGGGAAAGGGCGTAATGGAGCAAATATGCTAATTGGTGGCAGCTGAGAAGTGCCCAGTGGCAGACAGGAAAGGGCCAGCCCCAAGGCCCTGCCGCCCTGAGCTGTACAGACACACCCACAAGTGTGCTTTACTAATCTGCTGGGCTCTCTTAACCCAGAGAAGTTAGCACTTCACAATTAATGGTCACCACTGTCTCATCTGCAGTATGTCTGAGAAGAAATCTGATTGGCTTTTTCGTTATTCCTGTGTACATATGATACCTTTTCCTCTGTCTGCTTTTAAGATTTTTTATTTATCATTGGTTTTAACAATTTGATTACCCTGTGTCTCTTATGGTGCCTCTTATTCTTTATGATTCTTTTGTGTGGTATTCACAGAATTTCTTGGACTTGTACATGTATGGTTTTAATCAAGTGTAGAAATTTTTAACCACTATTTTCTTAATTTTTCTGCCCCATTCTTCTCTCGGAGATTCTAGTCAACTATGTATAAGGCTCTGGGAAATTTTCCCACAGCTCACAGAGTACTCTTTCCATTTCAAAAGAAATCCTTTTGTCTCTCTGTATTGCACTTTAGGTAGTTGCTTTTTTTTTTTTTTTTCCTTCCCCTTTTGAGACAGGGTCTTACTAAATGGTGTAGGCTGGCTTTGAACTCACTGTGTACCCCAGGCTGGCCTTGAACTTGTGGTGATCCTCCTCCTGGCTCAGCCTGCTAAGCGCTGGGATTACAGGTGAGCACCCCACTCATCTTTTTTTCTGGAATATCTACTCTGATATGACTATCAGTGTATTTTTCATCTCAGACATTGTGTAAGTTTTAGAGAGAACTTGACTAGGACTTTTTTATACCTTCCATGACTTTATTTACCTTTTTGAACATCTAGAATATAGTTTTAGTAGCTTTTAATATCCATGTGTGCTAATTTCAACCTCTTTGTCAGTTGTAATCAGTTTTGACTGGTTGATATTTCTCCTTAGTTCAGCTTGTATTTTCCTGGTTCTTCACATGCGAAGATGGGGGGGTGGGGATTGGAGAAGTTGCAGTATTAAAAAGAGTGGTCAGGGGAAGTTTCAGTGAAATCTGAACAAAGCCTTGAAAGCAGTCCTATAGCTATGGGGAAAGGGGATTATCCAGAGATACAAAAGGCCCTGAGGCATCCGAGTGTTTAGTGTTTAGGGTTAACAAGAAGGCCAGGAAGGCTAGATGGAGAGACGCTGGCAGAAGGAAAGGACCCGAGTGATCAAGGAGGAAGACCAGTAGATGAGGTTAAAAGGGTAAATGCGAGCCTGGGGTGAGACAGGTTTTAAGGCTTTGTAGGTCATTGTAAAGACTTTGGCTTTTGCTTTGAATGAAACTAGGGAACCATTCTCAGTACTTTTTTTTCCTTAGCAGAGAAGTGGCTGCATCTAATTAAGCTTTTTAAAATCAGCCCTGTGACATACATTGCTGTACTGAGAGTGGACCATAGTGGGAAGGGGTGGAAACAGAATCAGATAGGGGCTGCCGGCGATGATGACAGCTCAGATAAGAGTTGGAGCAGTACAAGAAGGTAAGTGGTCAAATGCAGAATGTATTTTGAAAGTAAAATCAGCAAGATTTTTTTTTGACTGAGATCATTTAAGTACTGGTTATAATTATGGAAGACACCAGAATCTGATACCTGAAGCACTTAAATGTTAAAAGACTAGGAGAAGAGGAGAAACCAGCAAATGAGACAGACAAGAAAATAAAGCAAATGTGGTGTCCTGGGAGCCAAGTGAAGAAAGTAATCTCAGAAGGATGGAGTGAAGGTCTGTGACAAGCGACTCTGAGATCCAAAGCAGTGAGAACTAGCAGTTTACCTTCGCGTTTGGCAGCTTCGGGGCAGACAAATCAAAGGGCTTGAGAGAACAAATGAGAGAAGAAAAACAGACAGAGAAAGGAACACGGGGAGCTGATCGAGGCAATGAAGTCACAAGAATCCTTAAGTTGATTATTTTTTGAGACAGCCTCACTATTGTAGTTCAGGCTGGCTTTGAACTCACTGCGTAGCCCAGGCTGGCCTTCAATTTATGGTAATCTTCCTGCCTCAGCTTTACAAATGTTGGAATTGCAGATATATGACGCCACACCTGGCTGATACATAAAGTTTATTTGTAATGTAAAATATTTAGGGTAAATGTGCCATTTAAATCCCCAAAAGAAGAATCTTGTATAGATAGAAAATTTGAACAATGAATGCTAAACATCTTATTTTCCACTGTCTGATACAGTTAGTTTCTTAACCACTGAACATAATAAATAATAAAGTTTAATTTAGGAAGACGATAAAATCTTTGGATTGTATTCCCTAGTTTAGAATGGAAGCCATACAGAGAAATTGGAGATCACTCAGTTCACTTTATTTTTATTCATTTTGACTTCGTCATACAGTTCATAGCCCAAGGGTACTCACTGCCATTCCTCACAAAGACTGTTTCTCCATATTTCCTTAATTGGTTTAATCCTGTACAAGATCATCTAAGCTGGGAACTAGGGTTGGTGGTGATTTCTTCTCCCTTCTCCCTCCCCAGATGGTTTTAGGTCCCCCTATCCTGCTTCCTGAGCGCCTCTTGAAGCAGTCCCTATTTCTCCATGCCCTCTGCTCGTGCCTCTAGACAGGGTTCTCATTTTTTGTGTCTATTACAAATCTCTTCTAACTTGTATTTTATACTTTCTAACACAATGATGTTTGCTATTTTTAAATCTGAATTTTCTATAATAATAACTAATTACCCAAAAAAAGGAATTTTGAAAACAAGGTAGTATGTGACATGAAAGTTTGTAGCAAAAAGCTTAAACCTTGATGTATCTCCTGTAGAAAAGAGAAGATGCAGTCCAAACCGCATTAATTAAATCATGAAACACATGCATAAGAATTTGAGTAAATGTTTTTTTTTAAACTTTAATTTTTATTAGTATGTGTTTACAGTACGTAATGGTTACATTCATCATTTTCATCCCCTTCCACTTTCTCCTTCTTTCCCCCTCCCTCCACTCTCTGGATTTTGAGTAAATTGAACCAAAAATGTTTTATGTCTTTTGTTGTTGTTGTTTTTGGTACCAGGGATCAAACTCACGAACTCCCGCTTGATAGGCAGGCTGTGCCACTGAGCTAAATCCCTAGTCCAAACCAAAAATATTTTAATTCAACTGGAGGTTTAAACATCAAAACAGTATTGAACCGTATATTTTGGACTGTACATTAAAATATATTGGACGTGTCTGACTTTCGAGTCACCATTTTAACTTTGAGTGTGTTTCTTACAGTCCCTACTCTGGTTCAGGAAGATATTGAGCTCTTTTTAGTTTTACTTCCGTGTTGCATTTAGTTAGCTAGTAAATCATACCCTGTTTTCTTGAAAAATGACTTGAAATTAAGTCCTACTGCTTCTACCTTTACTGCCCTGGTTTAGGCTTTCATCTCCTCACGTCTCAATTAGAGAAAACCACATTTATTCCCATAACCTGTGTGTTCCCCAGTCAAGTGCGTTTCTGTGTAATTCCTGTTTTACCCTCCCAAAAGACCATTTTTTGTCTTATAATAATTTTATTATTGTAATTTTAGTAATTTCATTCATCTGCCTATTGCTTGTTGGATAAAATCCAAAGTCCCTACTCTTCAACTAAGAGTGGTTCCACTAAGAAAACAAATGCACCCCGCTATGTCTTCCAGGTCTGTTGGTTATCCCTAGGTATGGACAGCCGAATTACAGACTGTGCTATCCACTTCAGTTAGTAAATCAATCTCTCCCTTCCTCCCTTTTTTCTTCCCTCTTTCCTGTATTTATTTTTGCCTTGTTTCTTC